GTAATATTCGGTTTGTCCTTATTTGTATGCGGTAGTTACTAATTTCTAATGTTAAAATGCTGCTAAATGAAAAAAAAAATGTATTTTTTTCTTAATATGATATATGTATAATATACTCAAAAGTAATTTTGAAAATTGCTGTTTCAAACTAAAGTACAAACAAATAGATGGCAAAAATACACTCAACTTTTATGTTATAATAAAATCTCATGTAGATAAAAAGGCATTCAAAGCATATTGCGTTGATGAGAAAGTTGACGTGCTTAAACAAACAAATCAGTTAGCACCCACTACCCTCTTTAACACATCCGATGTTGTTTACTATAAGTTGTAATGTTAGTTTGACGGCGCCCCCTGGCGACCCTGTCAGCCTTTTCTGGAGGCCCTCGGGCCATCTAAATAAACACAACGCAGACAGAACTTAAATAACGATATATACGTCAGCTTCAGCTGACAGATTATTTTCGCTTTATTTCCTTATCAAGCGGTTGTTGTCATTAAAGGGTAGGAATACCGACGGCCCCATAACGGGAACTCAAAGAGAGGTTAGAAATATGAGGCGGGGGGGGGGGGGGTAAGGGGGCGTATTGATAGGTGGAGGGAAGAAGAGTATAGAATAGAAACAGAGTTTGAGAAGCATATCTGAAAAATACGTGAGACGCAGAAAAACATAATTTTCAGTCAGCCTTGCGGACGCTCTGACGCCGAAACCACGTAATGTAGGTTAAGCAGCGGTGATCACCCTCTCTTGTCTTTCGCCAAGACTAATGTAGGGCGCGGGGATCACGTGACCTCCCCCATAACTAGCTCCTTTCATAATAATGACAAATGCTGATCATATCGACTGTGGTAGGAGAACGGTTGGGTTATGTTGTTTTTTTTTCACTCATTGAATGTGGTAGTTATAGCTGCACATCAGCCTCACGAAGTTAATAAGGAACGCGAAAACAGAAAAAAACACTCGCTCATAAAGCCGACGGCCCCCGAAAACTAAATTATTAACCCATTAAAACCATTAAGTAATTTTTAGCACAGAGTACAAATGTTCAATGTATTAAATCTATTTCTATTTATCCTTCGTTTTTCTCATTATTAGTATTTTTTTAAATTAAAAGCAAGTGTGTAGAAATTGACGACTGATAGAGATGTCTTCACGAGCCTTGGACTTGAACCACTCTGTTGAAGATCGGAATAAGCAAAAGCTAAATGGAGAACCTTTTTGAGTAATGAATGATATATGCCTAAACAATATGTAACGTCATATACAAATATGTGAAATTCTACAGCTCAAAAGCTACTGACGTCACCAATGTATGATTGGATATCGAAACATAGATATACGCGGAGTAAACGCGACATTTCTGCACTAAGAAGCAGTGTAGATAATTTTGACGTTATGGGTGTGCGACATCTAGTAGCATTATGTGAAATTATCTCGGCTTTTTCACGAAAGTACTTGTAGTTCGTGAATAAGTACATACCATATATAAGAAACAGAGCTGCTATCAGCTTTTTTTCATATCATATATAAGAAACAGAACTGCTACAAGTCTTTTATTTTCATATCATAGATAACATACAGAACTGCTACCAGTATTTCGTTTCAAACCATATATAAGAAATACAACTGCTACCAGCCTTTTCTTTTCATGACATATATCAGGAACAGAACTGCTACCAGTCCTTCTTTTCATTGCCATGTATATAAAACAGAACTGCTACCAGTCCTTCTTTTCATTGCCATGTATATAAAACAGAACTGCTACCAGTCCTTCTTTTCATTG